GGTCCAATGGGGCTTGGACACACTCGGTTTTGTGGAGCCAGGCGTCGCGGGATTGGAAGCACGGCTGACTACATTGAATCAACCTGTTGCTCAACCCCAGAAGTCAGCCCTACCATTTCAGTGTCATGTTTCCTCTTTTAGGCTTGCATAGGCAATGGGGAAGCATTTCAAGACAACTGAGATTGATTGACAGTAGCAGGGTGATCAACCCATTGGCTTGCAGAGCGGAGGCTGTCTCTGTTCTACGTCAAAGATCCAGTTGGCCGTGGGTCAAAACTAAACCAACGGGGGACCGCAGGTTTTAGTCCTGGGTTCCAATTGCCAGGGTTCCATTTTGGGTGCCCATTTTTGACCCACCAGCCACTTTTCTACCTTGTCACAGTGCGTGGTGGTCGAGCACTTTGCCACAGGGCGACTGTGAAAGCAGTGCCCATCATGTGCAACTTGGAAAACAAGGTGCCCGTCTACCTTTCGAGACGCTTGGCAGTGGGCTGCACAGGAGACGGAGGAAGCAACACTTGATGCCCTCACAGGGTTCTGCTCTCAGAGGAAAAAAGATAGGTACCAAATACCACCGGCTCCCGGCTTTGTTTTTTGGAGAGACAGGGACGCCAAAAGGAGAATCCTTCATTGGGGTCCAATCACTGGGATCTCCCCACAATAGCGTGGTTTTCCTTTGGGTTTTCCTGCAAAATCACAAGCCAGACGGTTTCCCAGGTCCTTCAGAGCAAAGCCAACCTTTGAAGCTAGTGCTTGGGAATCCTAAAACACCTCCAATCCTTTGCTCATTTTGCTCATTTTCTTTTGAACCCTTTGAACCTCTTGAACCTCTGGCTCCTTTTCTTTGTTCAGCCACCTGCAATCCTTTTCTCGCCTTCACCTGGGCGGCTGATGCTAGGGCGGACTCGAAGAGAGTTTCCATCTGTGCCCTTCAAAGCCACGCCGAATCTCGGGTTTCCAGCACACCTGGAAAGGAGGTCAGATCAGACATTTGGTTGCATGCACGGTTGATTCCAAGCATTCTATTCAACCATCGTTCTTTCAATTCACCAGTCGTTTTCCCTGGGTTTCCGGGGTTTTCTAGAAAGAAGGATTCCTGAAAACAAATGGGGAAGGTACCCCTAGAATGATGCACAGATGGAGTTGCAAGATAAATTCAGGAGCTTACAAGATTAAGGAACACGTGGGTGAAAGTAGATGGCAGAATTCCCACATGTTGGTTTAGTTATGCCTTTGACTCGCCCACAAAAAAAGGGAATCGTACCATCTACTTTCACCTCAGTGTACTTCCTAGGAACTTGTTTAGCTCTCCCAGTTTTTCTTGGAACGGGCACTCTGGGGAGCCGTGGCAAATTGCGTGCTTTTCCAGTTTCCTTGTACATGGAGGTCCAACCAACTTAGTAAGTAGGTTATACCTATGGTGATCAGTCAAACAATCCCTGTTGTCGCATTATAACCTTGGTCAGAAATTATTTAGTAACTTCTGCTGAAAATGGGTGTGTCTTTTTTCGACCCCCAGAAGGTTTTCCTTTTGGCTTTCCTTTACACCATGTGCCCTCAAAAATAGACGCCCCCAATGCTCCGTATCTCCCTGACCTCTCCTGAAAATCTCTGGGAGCAGCTTGCTCCAGCCCCGAGGCGGGAGCAGGGCAACCTCTTCTTCTACTTCCCGGATGCCAGCTCCAGGTCAGCCGCCATGTTCCTGGGTGAAGCCTTTCCCACCTTTTTAATCAGCCAGGCCGTGGTTGTAGCAGCCCACTGCTGTAAGTCCCCTGTAACTAGGCTTACCATTTAGTGATTCGTCCCAGACCATCCAAGTACCCAGGGCATAGTTGCAACCGTGTCAAACATCCCTAAGAAAAGAGGGTGCAATGGGGGGTATGGGGTTCCCTCAGGCTCCAATTGCTTTTAGGGAACGCAAAGGAACCCCCCCAACATCTCTCAACCTCCCACCCCCGTTGTACCCACCCCCTTAGAAACACTCCCAAAAACTGGGATCCGCCGGATTTTGTGGCCCAGGTTCTGATTGTTGAACCCCTGATCTAAGTCAAAACGGGCGGATTCTGGGTGCCACGCGCGCAAAAGTTGCGCCTGCCCCCCCCTTTACCCTCCCATGCACCATGGAAGCTGACTGGGGGTGGGTTGACCCTGTGGCGGGTTCCATGTACGGTGCTCAACCAAGGCTTTGTTTATCCCGTGTTTCTATTCTGCCGCAAAAGAAGCTATCGCTGGGGGGCTCAGGTATCAACAACTTTTGGAAAATGCAGTTCTTCGAGGGGTGATCCCAATGAATCCTTGCTTCATGTTGGATGCTTGGTCCAATCGGTTGCTCTCGCTTTCGCGGAAATTGCCCTATGAAGTGGGGAATGATAAGTGACTTCCAATTGGCAGGGGGTCAAAGACCAGCCCGATCAGTTTGCCCCTTTCCCCGTCCAGCCAAGCGGATCTTGGGCCATTTCATCCCTCCATTGGCACAACCGAGAAACCAGAAGAAGTGGAACTAAGATACAGGCACCAACATTCTAAGATACCAAGATTTAGTTTTGTTTGCCAGGCATCCCACCTCTCATTCCCTAAGGGTCCCTCTTGCATCCCCCCTGTCTTGACTACTTGGCGGGCTACCTGGAGCAGCAGTTCACAGGGAGGGAGGGAGGGAGGGAGGGTTTAAACATAGGCACCGCTGAAAAGCGGGTAGCGCTGAAAAGCGCACCATTTTTTCTGGGCACATGGTAAAGATGACCAAGCAGGCCTGGCCAGAGAGGGAGGATGGTCATGGGGCACTTTAGCCTGCACCAAGACTGCAATATTCAATGGCCTAGTGGTCAATATATATCCCTGCTTTGCTTCAGAACTGTAACAACTGCAAAGCACTATGCATAGAGGGCACAGCCATTGAGAAAATGCATGTGGGGCTACGTGTGCTGACCATGACCCTAAGTTTCATGCCCTGTTGCACACCCGTGCACCAAACCACACTGCAGCCACAATGTGTTTGCACACAGACGCTTGCAGCCAAAGAAGTTGCCATTTGACTGTTTGGGGCAGCTGGGCACTAAGGCTCAAGCCCTGCACTGAGGTTCACTAAGGCCCCAGCAGAGCGGAGCCTGCTGCAAGCTAAGGTGCAGACACTAAAGGCCAGGCATCTAAGGCCCTCACTTCAGGGTGACACAGGCCTGGCAGGCAAAGAGGCAATGTTGCCACTCACTAGGGCGCAGTCACATTGTGGGGTTGTAAGCCTGCCAAGGCATGGACTCCATGCCTTGGATTTTCCTATCACTGTAGGGGTTGGGACCAAGTAAGACAAAGGCCAGAGGCTTAAAGGATGTTCAAGGCAAGTTTTCGCAGTTCACCCCAGCCCTTGTCAGACACTAGGGAGGGCCCCACTGACTTTTGAAGGTGTTGACCGATTGGAGGCTGGGGTTCTGCCAGCCAATGTTGCACTTTCGCCAGGACAACTGTTCAGCTTTGATGCTCCTTGATGGGATTGTCAAATTTGAACACCAATTACACACTAAACATTAATGCCAGAAACCTTGAAGACATCATGCAAGGGGGAGGGCAAACCTTCAATCAACCAAGTGGCGCAAAACATCTAATTTCCAAACAGCTCCATTGGGCAGGAAATTCGTTCAGCACCAGACCAATAAATGCTCCAGTCCCCTTCCCTGCCCCCCAGCTGCAAGCCATGCGCGTCAGCCCCAAAGCCCCAAGTGCATGTGCTGCATCGGTTGACCCTGATGAGTGCTGCCCGCAGGTGGGCTCTTCAATTGCAACGCAAGGAGAAGCCCATTGATAACACAGCGCAAACAGACATGTACACAGTGACCTAAACAGGCGCAACTGAGCTGCTCAGCAAAGGCCACGCACGGCACATGCAACCACACATGGGTAACACACACACACACAAACACCCACCGCTTCACAAGCTTTTTTCCAGAACGGCGCCAGGTAGCCAAGTTCAAGCTAGCCTGCAGGCCTGTAGGCCTGCAATGCTGGCTTCACTTCTTAGACATCTCAGGCTGCTTGGCATTTGATGGCTGGCTCTTGGAAGAAGAGCTCTGCTCCTGCTTCTCCTGCAAGTCCATGATCTGAAAGTGCAAGTCTGCATTCTCAATGCAGAGGGCGTCCTTTTCCTGCGGTCAAGTCAGGGGTAGCAACTGCCAGGCCCATGGTCATGCTTGGTCAACCCTGCCTGGTTGCACTTGTCATAGACCCGCTTCCACATCCCCTGGTGCTTCTCCAGAACAACGTCCCTGCCCTTCTTGATCTTCTCAGTCTCTTGCTCAGCCTTGGCACGGAGGCACGTTTCCTCCATCAGATCATTCGCAACGTGCTTGAGTGCAGAGTTCAGCTCCTTCACATCATTCTTCAAGATGCCAATTTTCTGGTTGGAGGTTGCAGCCTCCTCTGTGGCCACCTTGACAGCCTTCTTGAGTGTTCTGACACCTTGCCGCTTCTCATACGAAAGCCCTCTCTGTTGGGGCATTGCCTGCAAGCTGTCTGGACTGCAAGCCTGCTGGCCTGCAAGCTGTGCTGTGCTGTGAGCCACAAACTCATGGCAGTTCACATTGGGCATGCAAAGGTGCCCACCCACGGCAGGCACATCATTCCACTGGCTGGCCATTCGTTCAACATTATCATTTCGGTGTGCGCACACAATTACCCAGTACAGTAGCAGGCTCAACAAGACAACAATTTGTTTTGCTCTCAAACTGACATCCTCACAGCCGACCAGCAGATTGGCTTCCCCAAAGCACCTGGGCATGGCTGAGCGCAGAAGACACAACTTTTCAAGGATACCCAAAGGATAGACACAACTGGCAGACAGCCCACAGACACCACAGCTTCAAGAATCCAGGGGTTGTCTCTTTGTGGCAAAAATATAATGAATCGAGCTTCACAATGTTAAACAGTCACCCCCTCAAAATAGCAGTGTGTCACACATTACAGTGGCACGCAAGTCCGGCCCCTCACCTGGTGCGCCCATGGTGGGTGTCTACTTCAAAGCATGGCAGCTGTCATTAAAGGCATCCTGGAACTGCTTTTTGGGTTGTTACTCTCTTTGGTTTTGCCTGACCAGCATCATTGCATTCACAATTTTGGATGGGCCATTTCTCCAAGTGCAGGCAGTGCTGAGCCACTCCAAGGCCAACACACATGCCTTCACTTTGGGGAAAGAACTTCAAAAGAACGAGTGCGGGCATTTTCCCCTGGCAAGCCTTGGATTTTGGGTGGACCATGCCATGGATGCCCCATGCCATGGATGCCATGGCATGGACAGGGCTGTTGGGATTTTGGGCACCTTCCAAACCCTGAAAAGTTGGCGCACACACACACAAAGCCCAGGGTTATGGACATGAAAGCAGCCACTGAGGCCATGGCAATCTGGAGACATCACCTGGCAGACATGGGATGGCAAGACCCGAAAGGAGAAGTGCCTTTTCAATATGAAAAGAATCTCGTCTCTCTTTTTCTGGCATGCTCAGCAAAAATATAGCATGGCTATCAAAAGAAGTAGGCAGCAAACTGCGACGCAGTAGTGGAGACATGCGATGTCCCAGGACAAGTTCCTCACCAAAAGCCTGGTCTCATGCAACTCCTCTTGGTTGGCCTCAAGGGTGCGCCTCATGGGTCCAAGGCAGGTCTGAAGCTCTGCCTGCAGGTCTGCAAGCCTTCCAAGTGCCTCCTGCAGGTTCAGGTGTGCAGGAGCTGTTCATGGCTCAAAGCAACAGGAAAAAGGGCCACCTAGCGCACTGTGTGCTTGAGCAGAGGGGGCTCAGGAGGCCTGATATGCCAACGCAGCACATGGCAAAGACCACCTGTGGCTAGCTGCGCAAGGTAAACATGCAAGGATGGCCACCCCACAGCCAAGGAGGGAACAGGGGCTTGATGTGGGAACCTAGGCTGCAAATGCAAGAAATCCCACGCGTGCAGCTCAAGTTGGTCTTGAGGACCATGAACTGCCAAAGAGCCCTAATGACACAGGGGTGGGGGCACAAAAAAGTGGCTAAGAGGCACCACCAGTGGTGTAAGAGTGCAGGAACTCTGAGGGCTGAGCTAGCAGAAGATGCCTGGGCACATGGGTTAAGACTAACTTACACGCTTGCGAAACCGGGTGTGCAAACGCATGGATTGGCCAGGCGCAAACTTGTCTCCCACAGGCTAGGGCAAAAGGTCAGCAACGGGGCCAAAACTGGACCACTCCTGTGTAGATTAGTTGGCCTGGAAAATGCTGCTTATTGGATGAGGCATGGGCTTTGCCTCATGGAAAAATCCCATGGTGTCAGGTGACTATCATCAATTTACCATTGCGAGCTCAAACCATCCCTCCCTGATCCCTGCCAGCCTGGCATCAGATCATCCTGCCAGCCTGCAAGCCTGCAAGCCAGTTCTTCTTCACTTGGCCACATCCTTGGCACACTCGGCATCACCCTCAGCCTCCAAAGCAGCGCCATCTTCCAAGTTGGTGGCCACAGCTCCCTGCTCTTCAATCCATGCGCGAAAGACAATCAAGCAGTTCCCGCAACAGCAGTGATTGGGGTGCTGGTCTTGCTGCCAGTGGGTGTGCGCCGCCAGTAGGTGTCATCTACATCAGAAAAGTCGCCCAGCTGGAGGGTTTGGGTGCGCTGCCTCTTCCCCTGCCTGGCAAAGTAAGATGGTGCAGCAGCATCTGCTCTTGGAATGTC